ATGCAAAATCACTCGGTTCCTTCAAATCAAGAACCCTCCATACTTAGACCCATTATCTTTTTAATTTTAGTGGTTGGTTTGATTATGATTGGTGGTTTAATCTTGGTCTACCGAAATGAAAAGAGTAAGGTAAAAAAGTAGTTAGGTTAATTTTTCCCGAAACCTAACTTTAAAATTTAAAAAAAGGATTTGGGATGCACTTTTTTTGACTAAATAGTCACGGATTTTGCGAGAAAAATTCTAAAAAGTTTATAAAATTAAATATTATATGGCAAAGAAAAAAGTTATCCATCGTAGTAGTATTAAATTAATTTGTGGACAAGCCAAACCAGGCCAAAGTTTAACCTTTTTAAAAAATATGAATCTATTTTGTAATGAATTTAATGAAAAAACTAAAAATAGAACTGGTGAAGTTGTTAGTGTGGAAATAGTTGTTTATGAAGATAAAAGTTATGAGTACAATATCGATGATGCCTCTCCTAGTACTTATCTTTTAAAAAAAAGGGGTAGCGATTGAATGATATTAAAAGGTAAGGGTAGTAGTGGTAAGGAAGAGAGGAAAAAATTACAAGAGAGTGAAAGAAAAGAAATTTCAGAAGCAGAATTAGAAAAAATCGCTCAAAAAATGCTGCCAATTCTGAATACCGATGATATAGAAAAAGCCAAAAAAATATTGAGAGGAACAATAAGAAGTTTTGGCAACTTTAAAGTTACTGAGAAGTAGTGTTTTAATGCAGAGGAAACTTGCTCTGATTAGAAAAAGTTTAAAAAGTATTAAGTCTAATAATTCAAAAGAGTTTTTTAATTATTAGGGGGGGAATAGTTAAACTCCCTGTTTTTTTCTTTTTGTAAATATTAAAAAACCTGTTGCTAATACAATTAAGAATACTCCAAGACCTATACAAATCTCTATTAAAAGACTACTATCATTATCTTTTGATGAAGGAGAAGTATCGGAGTTAGGAAGCGAAGGTTTATTTTTTAACTCATCAATTTGTCTTTGTAAATCTCTAATCTTTTCTTCATTATTATTATTTGACTGATTTTGGAGAGAATTAATCTGATTTTGTAAGTTCTTTTTTTTTTCTCTCTTATCTTTTTCCTCACCAATAATCTTTATATTTTTCTTAATTTCATTTTGTCATCTCTCATTGGCTTCGGAAGAAAAAGAGGAATTAGTAACTAAAAAATCAAAAGCCCAAGAGGCCTCGTTAAAGGCCTCTTCCAATAAATCTAACTCTTCATCAGTGGGTTGGATTTCTCCACTCTGCCACTTAGTAAAGAAACCACCTACTTCATCCAATCCTTTATTGAATATTCATAACAAAACCTCAAAATCTTTTTCATCTAAGTATTGATATCTGCTTTCAACAATTTCTTTAGCCTCAAAATAAATTCCTTTGGTTTCTTGCAAAGAGTAGTGTAAGCCTGAAGAAAATCTCAACCTTATATCATTTAGTTTCATTCAATCTACTATCATAAGGCAAAAAACTATGTAATATTAAGTTATCCTGCAACCTCCCTGATGTTTTTTACACTCTTCTACATACGATTCGTAAAGTTCTTTTTGATTTCTTAATTGGTTGTTCATTGATGCCTTATATTCTCTATCTTTTTTCTCTAATTGATTAACTAAATAAGTCATTCTACTTTGCAAATTATCGACTATTTGGTTATGTCCTTTTTCTATCGTACTCAACTTAGAATTCATTTGTTCAGCCATTGCTTTGACTAAACTCTCATTCTGCTGTTCCTTTTGATTTGCCAAATTTTTCAGACTATCGTTGTATTGTTGTCGCAATCTTTCTTCTCTTTTTCGTGCTTCCGCATCAGAATTCTTGGCTCTTTCTTCCGATTGCTTTATTTTTTCATTAAGGTCATCCATTTGCTTTTGAGTTTTCTCGCGGTCAGTCATATGATTTCTTATTCTTTCATTGGCCTCATCAAGATTTCTCGGACGATAAATTGTTCCGCAATTAAACTTTAAGTGAGCCCTTAATATGTCGCGACACTCTTTCCGTGATTTCAATTCAGGGTCTTCTTCCTCAGTTAAGTTATTAACATGAATAAGTTTTTTACAAGAACGAATTATGTCTCCTACATCATCATTTTCTGCAATCATTTTCTCTTTATCGTTTTTACATTTTTCTACCTTGCGAAAACTTGGAAACTTGGTTCGGACAATTGTCGTATATTCCCCAATATCTTCCGCAAAAAAAACTGTTCGTAATAAGTTATAGGCTCTTACTTCTTCCTCAGTAAATCTGCCACTAGTCACAAATAATATCTGATTTAAGCCATTTTTAATAGCGTTAGTTGCTTCGGCTAATTTTAACAAAACCTCTTTTTCATCAAATCTAGTATCACCAATTCCAATTGTATCTACTATATGAAAATCAACATTTTCCTTCCTTACTCTAAATATCCCTTCTTGGATACCCCTTGTCTCACTAACTCCATATTCACTTTCCGCAAAATGGCCAGTATTACTGATTACATTTGCCATTGTAGATTTTCCGTTTCCGGTTCTTCCTAATAATAAAATTGTTCGTTTTTCTGTCATTTTTATAATAAATATTCTTTTATTTTTAAAATTTTTTATTTCGTATTTATGTTTTCGTTAGATTTTTATCAGTTCTAACTGCTGAACTAATTACTTTTTGGATAAATATTCTAACCGGTGGAACTAGTTAAGAAATCCGATTAGAATATTCTTTCACCATTTTTATACTTCTGGGAAAGCCGCTACTAGTCTTAAAAAACTACTAGTGCGAAAGGGAGAAGTTTTTTATTTATTATTTGGCTTTTAGCCTTTTTCATTCTCTCTTTTTATTCCCCTAATGGGGATAAGAAGTTTTGATATTTTATGTATAATTTGCTTAACATGATGTTTCATATATTTATTTGTTTTTTTCTCTTTAATATAATTTTATAATAACTTACTTCGCTGAACTTTCTTGCTAGTGTAGGGGGAAAAATTACATTCGTTCAGGTGCTTCTATTCCCATAAGTTTAAGCCCTAGTTTTAGAATTATTTGAATGTTTTTTACCAAAAGTAACTTTTGAGAGGTTAATTCTTTATTTTCTTGCTCCAAAATGGTGCTGTTTTGATAATAGATTTGCCAGAGTTGGGCTAATTCATATAGGTAGTGAATTAAATGATGAGGTTTATTTTCCTCAATAACTTTTTCTAAAACAAAGGAAAATCTCACTAATAGTTTAAATATTTCTCTTTCTTTTTTTTGCTTTAATAAGTCAATGCTAGAACCAATTTTTTTTATGCCTCTCTCTTGGGCTTTTTTAAATATTTGATGGCAGCGAGCATGGGCGTACTGGATATAATAAAGTTGGGTTTTTTCTTTGTCTTTTTTCAATAATTCAACATTAATCGCTAAAGGTTGATTAGGTTCTTTTTCCAGCAAAAAAAACTTTAACTGATCCATATCCATATATTCCAGTGCCTCTGCTAATTCAATCGTATTGCCGGTTCTTTTGGAAAACCTTTCCATTTGTCCTTCCTTAGTTAATAAATTAACTGTTTGCACTAAAACTATTTGGATTCTTTCTATTTTGTAGCCAAGTAATTGACAAACGCTTTTTAATCGGGCAATGGCTCCGTGGTGGTCGGCTCCTCAAACGTAAATTAATTTGTCAGCTCTTTGTAATTTGTCTAAAAGGTAAAGAATATCAGAAAAAAAATAAGTATAATCTCCATCTTGTTTAATAATTACTCGATCTTTATCATCCCCTGCTAAACTGCTACGGAAGAAAATCGCCTTTTCTTCTTTTGGAGAATAAATTAATTCTTTTTCTCCTAATTCAGTAAGTATTTTCTGATGTTTATTTTTTTCATACAAACTACTTTCTGAAAACCAGATATCAAACTTAACCCCACATTTCTCTAAATCCCGCTTAATTTTGGTTAAAATAAAATCTAAAACCACTTTTTTTCAAGTATCAAATGCTTCTCCTTTTATCTCCTCATTGAGATATTTATTTCCCCATTTTTTCACTAACTCTTTTGCTATTTCTTGGCTTGCTTTGCTTAAAACATACTCACTTTTTGTTCCTTTCATTTTTTCACAAGCATCTTTCAATCAATTCTGACAATAAAGTAGGTAAACAGAATTAACTAAAGCAGTAATTTGTCCTCCGCGGTCATTAATATAGTATTCTCTAACTACTTTATATCCACAAAATTGATAAACATTAGCCAAAGTATTGCCTACAAAAGCATGTCTGAAATGAGCTAAATGTAAATAACCAGTTGGGTTAGTCGAAACATATTCTAGGTTTATTTGGATGTTTTTTTTCTCACCATGGAGATTTTGGCCTTCTTTTATTAATGTTTCAGTAAGAAAATGTTGATAATAATCAATAGGGAAAGAAAAATTGATATAACCTCTTTCATTAATTTTTCATTTTAAATTAGATAAAGCGGTTACTTTTATTATTTCTTGGGCCGTTTCTTGCGGGTTTTTTTTAGTTTTGTGGGAAATAGGCAAAGCCAGAGTGAGGGCGAAGTCGGCTGAAATGTCAGAGGGTAATTCTCATTGTAGAAAAGAATTTCTTCATTTAATTCCATATTGTTCAGCAAATTTCTTTCAGTTCAACAGTAAATTGTTAAGGTTTATTTTTTCTGCCATTCTTATAAAGAATTTTTATGGCAAAGTTTTGGGGAAAATTGTATACTCTGGGAGCGTTAGGAATTTGACTTCGAAAGTCGAAAAAGCAATTTTAGAGGCGAACAGAATTTTTCCCTTTCTTCCACTTTTTTACAATACTTATTACTAACACTAAAATTGTCGTGCTTCCGGCTATCGCGACTGTAATACCGACCAATGCTTTAGAGGCTAGTTCATTTGAATTTTGGGTAATTATTGAGGGATTATCATCTTTTTTTTGTCTTCCCTGTTTAATTTCTTCTCTAGCCATTTTTACTTCTTCAAAAGTTTCGCTTCTGTCTACTACTTGGTATTCTTCGGACTTTTGTTCAGATCCTAGTGATTGCTTAACTATTGATTTAAATTTAGACAAAATATATTGGTAGGTTCGTTTTTCTTTTTCCTTTATTTCTTCACTGGTTTTGCATTTTTTAATTTCCTCTTTAAAGTTTCAAAAAGGTTCATCGGTAACTAATTGTAGATCATCGGCCTCTTTTAATCATTTTTCAAAATTCTTAATAGCATTATTTCAATAACTTACTAATTTTTCTTTTTCGTCTAGATCATTCCAGCGTTGTCGTAATTTTTCTAAGGAAGAATCCGCCTTATTCTGGTGGGCCAGATAAGCATTTTTTTTATAAGGAGAAATTGAAGAAAATTTTTCTAGTTCCTGGATAAAATTTAACAAATCACTGTCCGAGCAGTTTTCTATCCTCCTTATTAAATCAGTTAGTTCCTTCTTAGCCCTTTTATTTTTGATTGCCTCAAAAATGTCATTTGAAATTATTTCCAGTTCGTTAGTGGATAGGTCCTTGTAATTATGAAACTTACTGTCGAGTTCGGCAATTTTTACTGGAGAAGAGTTGCTTAACTCGGCTTCTATATCCTGAATAATTTGTAGTCTTTTATTTTTTCTATTCTTTTCATCTTTCTCTCTTCGTTCTTTGGCTAGTCGAAGTAAAAATTCTTTTTCGGATGAATTAATCCGATCAAGATCGCCATCTTCTCCCTGATACTTTTCTTTTCATGATTTTATTTCTTCAGATGTTAATACTGAGTGATAGGCTTCAATTGTTTTCAAGAAAAAATTATTTATTTCGTTGTCAGTAATGGTGGCAGACTGATCAGTATTTTTAGAAATAATGGCCCTTTTTCTATTTTTTATTTTGCCTAAAATTTCACTTATATCTTTTAAAAAGTTTGAATTAAGACCTAGCAATAGGGTTCTAGTTTTTAAATCTTCATTTTCCAGTTTCTTTAATTCCTTACTGTTTTTGAATGCCTTTTCTAAATCTTTATTTTGGCAACTTTTACAAACTAAACTTGTCTCATCTACGGCACTTATTTTTTCCCCTCTATTTTGATAAGAGCAATAGATACAACCGTGTTCCTGGCAATAGTTTCTTGTGCCTTCTATTTCCTCCCTACAATTTTCTAAAATCTTTTTAGTTCCTCAAAGTGCTCCAGGAACAGTTCTTACTACTTTTGCCCGGCACCTACTCATAGTTTTTGCTCGAAACTTTTTAGCATTCTTTGTTACTATTTATTTTAGTTAGATGGAAACTTGTGATTTAAATAAAACTTATTAAAATGGGGACGTGTCTGAGTGGCCTAAGGTGGTAGTCTTGAAAACTACTGGTACTCCGGTGCCCGAGGGTTCAAATCCCTCCGTCCCCTCCAAGATTATGAAATTTTTGCAATACAATCAGAATCCTTTCTATGGCCACAGGTAAAAAGGCGGTTATTAATCTTTTCTATCTGATTTTTATTATATTATATTGAAATGAGGGGCGAAGAAAGTAATTTTTTCAATTCCTTTATAAGATAAGTCACTTTTGATTGCAGAAAGTTCACTTGCTCTATCTTCGAAAACAATATTTGCTTTAGATCTTGAAGATAGTAATAATCGTGATCTTCTACTCCAATTTTTTTCAATCTTTCTTTTTGATTATATAGTGATATCATCATTATTATATCATTCTCATAATGGTTTCTTTTTCCATAAAATATATAATGAATGCAAAATACTAATACAGTTTTATATAGTAAATATTTGTGAAAGTGATTTAGTTTTATTTAGTAAAAAGTTGTTTATTTTTTAAAGAAATAGTAAAATACAATTATAAATCTCTTGTAAAATTTGTAATAATAGTTAAATGTCAGTTAAAGAGCAGAAAAAAAACGAAGTAAGGCAAGTTCAAAATAAAAAGTATAGGACTTTAAGAAAAAATCAATTAAAAAAAATAAATAACTATTTCGAAAAAGGCGGAAAAAATGAGGATGAATTAGAAAACTTGTTTCGAAAAGTTCAGAAAGTTTTAGATACATCCAGCCAAAAAAAAGTAATTCATAAAAATAGGGTTGCTGGCGAAAAAAGCAAATTACGTAAAAAGATAAACGAATTAAAGAAAGAAAAATTTTTAAAAAGTTAAAATTTTAAAAGTGCCTTTCTCCTAAAAATTTAGTTATATAACTATATAATTTTTGTAATACAATGGTTAAAACTTTAAGAAAAAAGAAAAATATTGTTAATTATTATTACTCTTCCTGTTTTCCTCTCCAGGCAATATTTCGCACCATTTCCTGGGCTCTTTTTCTTCCTTTGTTTTATTTTTTAGGAAAGGCTTTTCTTGAAAGCGATGTTTTAGGAAAAATTTACTATTCTATTTTAGGTAAAGAAACAAATTTTTGTCAATATTTTCTTGGTGGAGATGTTAAAGAAAAAAGTCAATTTCTGACTTATGCTGTTTATTTTATTATAGCAATAATTATCCTTAACGTTTTGTCTACATTAGTTAATTGATATTTATGAAAAAAAGATAGATATATCGAAAACAATAATTTTTATTTACATCATTGGAGCGTATTTGTAATTAACACTCTGATTCATATAATGAGTGCCCTTTTGTTAACTTTTTCTTTCGTGAGTGCTTTAACAGTTATTTTGGCTTTGTTGTTTATTACCTTTAATAATTGAAATTTATTTTTCCGAGAGAAGTCACAAAGTCCTCAATTGGAAAGTTTTTTTTCTTGGAAAAATCAATATATTCTCAAAATACTCTTTTATTCGGCAGTTATTGTTTTGGTTGTTCCATTTATTATTGGCAGTCTTCAATTGCTTCATGATAGAGCAACCGGAGGTTCTCCAGAAGGATTTGCTAAGGTTTATCAGAATTTGATTAACAGCCAGCCTGCTATAAAAGCTATTGTAGAGGCAATAACCAAAGCCAATTATAGTTTGTTTCATTGGCTCGTTTTAATATGATTTGCTACGGGGATAATTAAAGAAAGGACAGGAGAATTTGGTGATTTTTGGACTAAGGTAAATTCTATTGACAAAAGAGTAATCAATTATTGCCACTATTATTATTATCAAGAAAGTTGGGCTATTGCTAATGATAAACCTGTTGTTAACTTAGGAGATTATAGTTATATTGAAGATAGTCCTAATTTTCTCAGCAAAGGCTATTTAGAAAAGGATTCAGATGTTAATGATTTTGCTAAGCAAAATCAGAAAGTAGTTAAATATATAGAATTTTGTGCTGAACGAATAAAAGAGCCAGCAGAAAGAAATTATCTTAATTATTGCTTATTTAATGAGTTTAATTCCTGAGATGATTGTTTACGTATTAAGGAATTAATTAAGAGAGCGAGGAAGAAGTAGTGCTTCTCGCTCGTCTTTTACTTTTCCTACTAGGGTACTCAGAATATCATGAAGGGTAACAATGCCTATAATCTTTTTTTTTTCTTTAATAATTGCTAGCCGACAATTGTTTTTTTTCAGTTCATTTAAGACCTTATCTAGTTTTTCTTCTGAAGAAAGACAGACAACCTTTTTGTCAATATGACTTTGCCAATTTTCGTCTTTTTTTGCTATTAGTTTTCAATAAAATACTTCTATATTAAATACCCCAATTATTTTACTTTTATTTTCGAGAACTGGATAGCGAGTGAAAAAATAGTGAGAATGAATTTTTTTTATTTCATCTAGTTTCATATTCTTGTTAAGGTAGGAAACTTTCTCCCATGGAGTAAGGATTGAGGAGACTTTTAATTCATCAAAGTTGAGAGCAGATTTGACTAGGGAAGCTTCTCCGATTTCTAGAGTGTTTTCAAGGGTTAGATTATCGATGAAGCGAATAATATCTTTTTCCGAGTTAGAAAAAATTTTTTTCCTAGGCTTAACTATTATTCGAAAAGGATAAAAAATTCTAACAAGAAAGTAGGCAATGGAAGCAAAAAAACTGTTGAAAATTTTGTTTCTGCTGCTTGGCCTATTGACTAGGTAACGAACAAATATTTCCGTAAAAAAAGCAATGGAAAGACTTAATAAAATAATGGCAATTCATCTGTTTGATTTTACCCAATGGTCTGGAAAGTTTTTTTCTATTATTTCTTCCATAAACACTTGTGACATTATCATGTTTAAAAAGACTTGTAAGAAGCAGACTATGGCGAAAAGAAGATTACCATTTTTTAAAATAAAGATTATTTTTTTCCAATTCTTATTATTTTTTTTTTTCTTTAAATCTAACTTAAATAAGTTGATTCCTGAATATAACGAAGAAAGGTAATTTAAAAAAAAGGAAAAAATAAAGAGGTTTAAAAAAGTTATTAAAGGTAAAAGTAAAGTTATTTCTTTGCTTCCCATGATAGTTTTTTAATATATTTTTGAGTTTTCTATTCTCTTCTGAACTTTTATCGTGAAGAAAAACGACAGTAGGAATGTAACTAAATTTTTTGCTCTTTGCTAACTCCTTTTTTATTAGGGGTGGGTATTCTTTGTTTATCATCCTTAATAATTGTTGACTATTTTCTCCAGGTCAGAAAAAAGTTAAATAAATTTTAAGATTTTCTCCTCGAGTACTCAACTGACAGTAACTCAAAGAAAGAAGAGGGAAGTCATTTTTTGAAGTAATTTTGAACAAAATTTGAGCCACTTCTTGCTCGTATAAACTTTCTCTTCTTTTCCTCCAAAAATTATTTTTAGTTTTGACTAACATTTTTTTTAACTAGTTTGAAGGCTACTATTTTATCTCCAGTTTGAAAATTATCAAATCCTTTTAGGACAATTCCGCACTCTTGACCACTTATGACTTCTGTTTTTTTTTCCGACTGACTTTCCAAACTTTTAATTTCTCCACTAAAAATTATTTTCTCTTCTTTTCCCCGATAAACATGAACTCGGTGATTACGACTAATCTTTCCATTGACTACTTTGCAACCTGCTATATTTCCTTTGGAAAAAAAGAAGACTTTTATCACCCGAGCCTGACCTGCTATTTCCTCTACTTCTTCCACTAATTGCTGATTTCCAATAATTTTATCTAGTTCTTCTTCAATTTCATAAATGATTGCACTATTGAAAAAAGGAATATTATTTTCTTTAAAAGTTTTTATTTGCCCATGACTAGGTGATGGACCGAACACTAAAATAGTACTTTGAGTTATTTTAATTAAATTAAGAACAAAATTATTTAAATTTCCGATGGTAGCATTAACAATTGAAAATTCAAAACTATCAGTATTTTTTTTTTTGATTAGTTCACTGAGAGCATTCAATTTGTTTTGACTATCCGAAATTAAGACTAAATTAACCTTTTTCTTTTCCTTATCGAGGAGAGAAATCGGCAGTTTATCATTTTTTTCTGAATAATTAGTTAATTCTTTTTTAATTTTTTCTTTTGCCTCTTCATTCTTTATTACTAGGAATCTGTCTCCTATTTCAGCAGTGGAAGTTAAGCCGATTACTTTGATGATATCTCCTGGTAAAGCTGTAGTAATTTTGCCACTGTGGGTATCTAAAAATGTTTTTGCTTTCTCTAATTTTCCGTTAAGAAAGATAGTGTCCTTTTCTTGTAGTTTACCACCCTGAATTAGTAATTCTGTTACTCGTGAGCCAGTTTGAGGATGAAGGTAAGCATCAATTACTGTTCCATGAGTAGGGTCCTGTAAACTGGTTTTAAATTCATTAGCAAAAAGCAAAATAATTTCCAATAATTTCTGAACGCTAGTTCTTTCCTTAGCATTTCCAGAGACTCACTCGAACGGATTTAATCCAGTTTGCTGACACTGACTCCTAATTCGGTTCAAGTTTTTTTCATTATCAGTTTCGGCAGGCCTTTTATGATTAATGAAAACAATGACCGGTAATTCGTATTGGCAGAGATAATTAATAATTTCCTCAGTTTGGGGCATTACTCCTTCCTGGGCATCGATTACTAAAACCACTAAGTCAGTTAAATTAATTCCTTTTTGGCGCATCTCAAAAAAAATTTGGTGCCCCGGGGTATCTAAAAAAATATTTTTTTTCCCCTGAAATTCGCTTTGGGAGACAGTAACCTTTTGAGTTATCCCTCCTGCTTCCTTTTTTTGCAAAGTGGTCTGGCGAATGGTATCAAACAAGGTAGTTTTTCCATGGTCAATGTGCCCCATGATGCTAACAATTGGAGGTCTCTCTACTAACTGAGAACCATCTCCTACTTTTTTTAAATAATCCTGGACAACCTCGCTAAAATCTATCTTGCTTTTCCTTTTCAAGTTTATTCCGACATTTCGACAATAATCAACTAATAAATCAAAAGGTAATAATTGGTTCAAACTTATAGCTTTGCCTTTCTCTCAAAAAAACTTAACAATTTTATTGGTTTGTTCTCCTAGTATTTCTCCTAATTCGCTAGCACTTATGCTTTCGGAATAAAGATAAAGGGTATTTCCTTCTAACTTATTATTAACACCAGTAATTTTTTGGTGAATTATTTGTTGAAGTAAGTCGTTACTTTCTTTTTTTTTCATGTTTATTAGAATCTACTTAAATAATTTCTAATTATTTATTCTTTTGCAGAGCATTTCAATTTCTTTATCATCTAATTTTCCGTTCCAAACTATTATGGTGCTCTTCTCCTTTCTAATTTCCTCTAGACCTCGAACATGAATTTTCTTCCCTAAATAATCCGCGATTTTTTCCAGTAATTTTCCATGGTGCTCTAAAACTAGAGAGGTCTTTTCTCCAAGGACAGTAACATACCAACCATCTCCTTTTTCAATTATTTCAACTACTTTGGCTGGTGAAAGAAGATTGCTAAGCAATATTTTTTTATTTTCCGATCAACTTGCTATTTCTATCCGCTCGTCAGCTAAACTAGAAACAGACTGAACTCGTTTGCCTTTCTCTCCAATACAAGCTCCGAAAGGGTTAATGTTCAATCCTTTTTCGATTGCTTTCTTGCTCTTTTCGACTACTATTTTACTCACCAGTCCAGGTATTCTTAAAATATGTTGAACGGTAATAATACCTTCTTTTACTTGTGGAATTTCTTGCTCTAATAACCTATGAATAAATAAATTATCATGGCGAGTTAAAATAATCTGTGGCATATTTTTTTCTGCATTTTCTTTTACTTCTTTAATTAGGAAGAAAAGGAATTTTTGTCCTAATTTTGGAACTTCTGGTAACGCTAACTCTTCTTTTTTTAAATAGCCAATTCCTCCCTTCTTCAATTTTATTAAGTAGTAGTTTTCTTGTTCCTTTTGGATAGTTCCTTCTACTATCTGACCTTCAAGTGGTTTAAACTGTTTAAATTGCCTCGCCTTGCTAATTTCTCCTAAGTCTCCTAACAGTTGTTTTCTGATTTCATCACTGAGAGAGTTAGAGAAATTTTTTATGTCTAATGGAACAAATAGTTTATTGTTTTTTACCTTACCTTTTTTTAATAATTCATCATTCTTAGATATTTCTTTCTCTGGGTCGTTAACTTTCTCAACTATCTGATAGAGACGGTGAACCGATAAACCATCATTAAATTTGAAATTTAACTCGGCTCGGGAACTTTCTTTTTTACAGTAAGACCTTCGGAAAGATTCAATAATTATTTCTTTTATTCGGTCTTCTGATACTCCCTCGCGCTCGGCTAAACTTTTAATAAATTGGTAAATACTAGTGCTTTCTGTCAAATTACTAAAATAATTTTTATTAATATAATTTTATAGGAAAAATGGAAAACATTGGGTATTATCTTAATAGGTTAAAGGAATGAGTCAAGGAAGGTTGGAGATTTATTTTCGAAGATACGAGTAAATTGGAGGCTCATCATTTAATCGCTTTTTTACTAACCATTTTGATAATTTATCTTCTTTCCTACATTGTGGCTAAAATTTTTAAAACAGTGTTAAAGATAATTATAATGGTGGCTTTGCTTTCTTTATTATATATGCTTTTATTTGATAGAAGTAAGTATAACGAATTGTTTAGCAAGAAAAGTAGTGGAACAGAAAGAAATTAAAATATAGACAAGTGATTATATATGGAAAAAAATAGAAATATTTCTGATTCAGTGTTTTCAATAAGTTGTTGCGAATTGACTGACAAAACTTTCAGACTTTTTAATGACAGTTTTTCTCCTTACCAAAGCACAAAAAGCAGGCATGATATTTTTGTTTATTGGAGATTTGCAGGTCTGCTCGAAAAGCAATGTAATGAATGTCAAAAAAATCGAGATAAGGAATATGAAAGGTTAAGAAAGGTCCAATGCGAGGAAATTGAAAAAGAATTAAAGGATGAAGAAGTAAAAAAAGAAAAAAGTTATCTAGAAGAGGCTAAAAAAAGAGGAGTAGTTAATTGTCTTTACGAATATTTCAGAAATGCTCCTAAAAAATTAAAAGTGGTCTGTGATTGGGATGAAGTAATTCAACCCCTTGAGCCAAAGGTATACTACGAATTGTCTGAGCGCGAAGGGGCCTATTACGATGCACCCTGATGAAAACCGAACGGAACTAAATTTGAAGAATTTTTTCGGGATTTTTGACCCAATGCTCCGATTTATTTTTCTGATTATGGCAGTCATTCTATTTACACTGATAAAAGCACGGTTGGAGGTTGTATAGGTATGGCTCTTGGTCCAAAAAAAATTAAAGATAAGGTCGATAAGATAAAGAACGAAACCGATTTTTACGAACATTCTCCCTTTCTTACTTTGGCTAAAGAATTATTGAAATTGGTAAAAGAAAATAAAGTAGAAGTTGTTTTTCTCTCTGCTTATGATAAAAAAACTTTTCCTAACGGAGATCCTCGCAAAGAAAAAATATTTAGGGAGACTTTCGGTAAATTTCCTAATTGTTCCTTAAACTTAGTTGGATTTGAAAGCGAAGGAAAAGGACAAAGCAAGAGTGAATGAGTTAAAAAGAATGTTCCTGATTGCGAGGTGATAATAGATGATAATCCTAATATCCTTGCCAATGTAATAAAAGATAACGATAAGATAATTGCCGTTGCTCCCTTTTATCCAACTATTAGGCATCACGAAAAGGTGATTTTAATTAAGAATTCAATTAGTAATCTAAAAAAAGAGGATTTTTAGTTAAAATCCTTCTCCCAGAAATTGATTTCTGAGAAAAGGTCTAGGCAAGGAATTTAGGTTTTTTGCTACAGAAGATTTACAGAATAAACTATGAGAAAATATTGGTAGCGAATTTTTTCAAGGCATAGGTATTTTAGAAAGTAATTATCAAGAGTTTGTCAAAATATTGCAAGAATTATATGGATTGAGGAGAACAACAACTTCCAAAAAAGAATTATATTATACAATGATTTTACAGATTTTATAAAAGTCTTTTTTTACTGTTAACTGGTCTTTTCCATTTTTTTTTTAGACAATTTCAACTTCAATAGGCGGTCTTAATTTGGAGATGTTTAACTTATTAGAACGATAGTCCTTGTGTTTTTTAACGACAAGATCAAACTCATTTTGATTCTTGCTTTCAAGTCATTTAAAACATCCTTTTAAACATCTACCGCAAGGAAGTTTAATTAACTTATTTTTTACCATTTTTAGATTTACATAGCGATGTATTCTGACGAAAGAAGGATTAATTTTTAATTAAATAAGGTCTCATTCATCGCTATAAGCCTAGATCTACAAAAACTATTTGATTTAACCCTGGTAGTTTTTCATCCATTATTTTTAGAGGTTCATTTTTTCAACTATATGGGAAGCAAAATTTTGATAGTAGTTAATCATTTCTTGACTTTGAGGCATTTCTCTGCTTCTTTCATCATCCCAAGTTGTAAACCAAGCAGGGTCCTCGTGAACAAAATCCTCTAATTGCTGATTAGTATAGGTATTAAAATAGTTGAAAATTTTTCTGGTCAAAATTTTCAAATCGCGACTTAAATTTTTAATTGAGATAGGTCTTTGAGGAAGAACTAAAAAATGGAACCGATGGTAAATATCATAGATTATTCCTCCCTGTTCAAAGGCTAGAAACTTTTCCGGAAACAAATACTTCTCTTTCTTTGCAGCGTAAAGCACTTGAGAAATTTGCAATAATTTATTAAGACGAAGATTGCCGACAGTTGGCACAGAATTCCCCTCCACTTTTACCATATTTTGTCTTTAACAAAATATTCTCTCTTGGGATCCAAAGAGAGAAAAAATTCTGCTATTTCCAATACCGGAACTTGACAGCACTTTTTATTATTCATTATTATAATATAGGTTTTTAATTTTTTTATCCTTTTCTAAGCACAGGTACCACAGAATCCTTTTTTATTAAAATGATATAGTAATTTTAAGAAGTTCAGTAGTATAGGACTACTTTAGAAAAATATTAATTGTACCCTATGGTCAAAACAGGAAGAGAGATATCTAACAAGAATATTCCCACACTTACCACAAATTTTATTCGTTCATTTGAGTTTTTAAGTGGTTGGCTGTTCTATCTGAGCCACTAATGTTTCATAACAAGTTTTTACTTTCTCTTCTAATTTTTTTATTACTTTAATAATTTCGTCCAAGTTTTTTTCCTCTTCTTCTACAGTTATCGCAATTTCGTTCTTGGTTAAATTGTCAAATTTTGCTTCCAAATGACTTAAAATTTTTTTATTTTTATCTTCTAAAGATGAGAGAATGTCATTTAATTCCTCGTTCTTTAACTTTTGTTTAATCTCGCAAATAATTTGGACTTTTTTTACAAACTCGTTCAGTAATTTCTCATTTTCTTTATGATTAGTAAACAATTCCTCCACATTAAACTTATTTAGCCTTTCTGTCATTATTTCAAAAAGTGGATAGAGAAGATTTTGCTTTTGTCTTTCAAAATTTTCTTTTTTATTGATAACTTCTTTTAAGTAATCTATTCAATTATTTTTTCCACCTCAGTTGTTTTTGCCTTTTTCATTATATTTTTCTTCAGCACTGAATTCGGAATCAGAATATTCAGTTAGTGCATCGATGATAGTTCAAGCCAATCTTTGCTTCCTGTAATTCAGTGATTTTTCCTCAAAAGGTTTTTTTTGAACATAAGTATTTATCTTTTCCTCTAACATTTTCATTAGTCTAACAATTCTTCCTAATTTACTGCTTCCTTTCCACTTACTTTCATTATTTAAATCATCAGCCAATTTCTTTTTATTTTTATTTTCCTTTAATTCAAGAACGCTAATTACTCCATTGTTATCACTATCATACTCCCTTAAGAATTCTTCAGTTGCTTCTTTTAGTTTTTTAAGTACACTATTTAACTGACCTAACTCACTACTTCTGATCGTTTTAAGTATTCCTAATAATTCGTGATAATCATCAAGCAGTTCCTTAGTATCTTGAGTAAATTCTGCTCATTGTTTTTCCTTGACTTCATACCAATTTGATTTAGCATAGGAAGTAATGGTTTCAACTACAGGTGAAACTACTGCTATTGCTCCTACTTCGTGACCTGCAAAAGATAAATTGCCACTAATTCCAAGAATTCCACTGATGCCAACTGCACCCCGTCCGGCTCACTGAGGAATAGTTCAGTATCAATTTTTTTCATATTGGGCAGGAGATTTTAGTTTACTTAGTTCAGTCGAATTATTTTGCTTTTGTCTGATTAGCAGTTCGCTAAGTTTGTTGAAAGGCGTTTGAATATAATTAAGATATTTAGTATACCATTGTGGATTATCTGCTTCCATTTTTTCTTTTATTCCTCATCTGTCAATAAATTTTTTGATGTTATTGCGAATGACAAAAAACCTTTCTAAAGGAATAACGTCAGCAGTGAGTTTATTTTGTTTGTCAGTTTCTCGCCATTTGTCAAGATCATAGTATTTTTTGTTATACGGATCTTTTTCTAAACATTTACTTTCATCTAGTTCCTTCATAATTTTAATTGATTCATATGAAGGATCAGAATCGCAAACTATTTTTTTGCAACCTATTGGTAAGTATTCGAGTCCTTTGTTAAAATTGGTGTTGGTAATAAATAATACCTTCAATTTAGTTAGATCTTTTAGAGACTGTAAACTTCCTTTTAAGGGACAACTACTAACATTTAACTGTTCAAGATTGGTAACATATCTGAGAAAATTTAAATTAGTTAATTTGTTATCAGCGCAGTTAAGTTCAATCAAATTTTTACAATCGCTTAAATCTAAAATAGTTAGTTGATTGTCTGAGCAACTTAACCTTTTTAAATCCTTAAATCCTTTTGGACTCAATCTTCCTTTTAAATTTTTCTTACTAATGTCTAAAACAATTTTTGCCTTTCTTTCGTTTTCTGGAAAATTTTTATCTAATCATCCTTTTGACTCCGATTGATAAAAATTTTCATTACTAAAGTTATCTAAAAAAACTAACAGTTTATTTCTAGATTTTTTTCGCAAACTTTTTTCTTCGTTGTTCAAGTAAACAATTTTTTTCTTTTCGAGTACTTTTACATTGATTTCCTTATACTCTTCCTTATTATTAAAAAAACTAATTAACTTCCTAGTATTCTTTTCACATTCTTCTTTACTTCTAAAATGGCTGAATTTAGTTCTTATAATAGTAGTGTAATCTAGAACTTTTCCATCAAAAAGAGATTCATTTATTCAAAGAAATTCGTCTAAAGCTTTTTCTTCACCTAATTTTCCATCCCTTTCATCCATTACAAAAAAGATTTGACTAATTCCTTCATCAATATAGTTGCCAATTTCTTCTTCAAATTTAGTTAGTAATTCTTCTTTAGAATTTGCATTTCCTAAACCAACAGTATCGACTACTCGATACCTTATTTTTTTCTCTTTGACTTTTTTATCTTCAATCTCAAACTCTCTGTCTACTGCCCTTCAACTTTTGGTAAGAGAAGAATCATCTTCTTTAAATTCATCAGAGTCACTCAAAACATTAGCTAAGGCTGATTTACCTCCCCCCGTCTTACCAATTATTAGAATATTTCTAGCTTCTACCATAAAGTATTTTATTATAAAAACTTTATTATATTACGAGTAAGCATTACTGGAAATACAGTAATTGACTTCTTTGTTTCCTTTACTAAAATAGATATAATAATTGCCTATGGTCAAAACAAGAAAGAAATATCTAATTAGTATAACTTTCAAAGTCAATCGCTACTTATTAGATATAATTTGCTTAAAGGCTTAGTTAGCGATTGTGTAAAACAAAAAATAAATACTAACAATAATATGACAATAATCAACAATATTCTAATAATCGGCATAACCGGAAATGGAAAATCAGCTTTAGCTAGTCTTTTGGCTGGCAACGACGAGTTTATAACAAGTGGTTCTGGTGCTAGCAAAACTAAGCACTTTCAAGTTAGTGAAAAACCTTTTGAGTACGAAGGTAAACAGTACCGCTTGATTGACAACATTGGATTTGGAGACAGTGGTAATATCCCAGAAGAAGAAATTTTTTTAGAAATAGGTGAAGGAATTTATTCTGCTAAAGAAGGAATAAATCAAGTACTTTTTGTTTTTGGAGGGAAATTTGGTCCAGAGCAGATAGAAACTTTTAATAAATTTAAAAAATTTACTTCGGGGGGAAAAATTAACGAAATTGCTAAGTTCGCAACTTTGGTAAGAACTAATTTTCCTAACTTTCAAAATCAGAAATTGTGCGAAGAAGATCGACAATCTTTACTTAACGAAAAAAATGAAGAGTTAAAAAAGGTGATTAGTTCTTGTAACAAGATTATCTACATAGATAATCCACCAATACCTAAAATAGATCCGTGAGAAGCTGATAAAAATGATGTTAAAGAAGCAAACAGAATTAAAGAAAAACAAGAGGACTCAAGGAAAATAGTATTGGATCATTTAACCAAAAATTGCCCAAATATTTGCAAAATAGGAGAATGAGATGGTATATATTCAATAGTGTCAGATTATATCGAGCAGAAGGAAAATGGTTCAGTTATGGAAAAAGAAATAAGTAATTTAAGAGAAAAAGTAGTTAGAGACATAAGAGAGAATTTAATAAAAAAGGGACTCCAACTTGCCGTAATAGAACAAAAGTAGAACAGAAAGTCATGACAAAAACCAGAAAAATACTTCTTATTGGCAGATCAGGGGGAGGCAAATCAGCCTTAGCTAATGTTTTGACTGGTAGAAGAGAAGTCGATAGAAAAAAGGTGACTAAGGAATTAGTAGAGAGCAATGAAAAGTGCCATAAATGCAAACAAAGTTTTGCAGAAGGAAAAAATAAAGAAGGCGAAGATAATAAATGAATAAAAGCCACTATAGAAGAACAATATTCTTATCTTTTTCATGAAGAATGTTTCAATTTTAAAGAAAGTGCAGCAAGTGTAAGTGAAACTAAAAGAATCCAGTTTGAGGAATTTATTGATAAAGAAAACAGATATTTAGTAATTGATACTCCAGGAATTGGCGACACTGAACTAAAAGATAATGAAGTACTCAACATAATTGCTAAGGCAGTTTATTTAGTTAGAGATGGAGTTGACCAAATATTTTTTGTTGTCGGTAGTAAGAGATTTGATCAGTACGAAATGGCTACTTACAATTTGCTAAGAACCGTTATTTTTGATGAAAATATTACTGAACACACTACCATAGTTCGTACTCACTTTGCAAACTTTAGAAGTAAAGAAGAACGTGAAAAAGATATTGATTCAATGAAAAAAGGTTCACAAGCAAGAAAGTTTGAACTAAAAGAAAAGGTTGTTATTAAAGAGAAAGAACTAGAAAGTCTTTCTCTTAATAGCGAACAATATAAGAAAATATTAGTGGAATTTGAGCAGTTAAAGAAAGAGTTGAGGTCAACTCTAGCTGAAATAATTGAGTCTTGCCCAAGAGTTATTCATGTGGATAATCCATTAGTTAATATTGAAGAATTAGAAGACCTAAAAACAAACATAAATCTAAGAACTAGGTCGCGGAGAAAACTGCTAACTCACTTAAGTAGCGAGGATTGTCAAGGTGTTTATGAACCCCCAAAGTTAAAAAAATTTCGTGAAGAAATAGCTGGTGATTATTACGAAAAAATTCTAATAGAAAAAAACGAAGAAAAACTAAATATTAAAAATGAAGAACAAATTCGATTATTTTCCGTTGATGCTGAAGATTCTGAAACTATTGAAATAAAAAATAAAAAACTAGAAAGTAAAAGGGCTAGACTAAAAAGAAAAGCCGAGGGAAAGGAGAGAATTATTCGACAAAAAATTTTAAAACATATTTTCAATAATTATGTCGAAATTAATAAAGAGTTAGGGGGAAATGTTTTTCTCAGTAGTGTGACTGGTGATTATGATTGATCAAAAATTAACTCAGAATTTTCTAGTAAAAAACTAATGATGAAATGACTAAGCCAGGGCTTTGATTACTATCAAACTCAAGAGTGAGCTATTACTTTAGGAAATAGTTTTAATCCTAAGTACGATGTCAATTTCTGTACCTGACTGAGGGATGATAAGAAATTAGTAGTGGAAGAAGTTTCGAAATATGAGATAGGAAAACTAAAAAAAGAGTATTCTCAGAAATTAGGAAAGGAAACAAATAGTTCCGAGTTATTGTCTATTAGTGATAAACACCGAAGCAAGCCAAAAGAAGCTCAAGAGTGATTAGATAAAAATTTTCCACTAGAGCAAAGAGGAAATATAAACCACTTAGATATTAGTTTTAAAAACCTAAGTGGTTCTTTAAAACTTGAAGGTTTTTTTAATCTAGCCGAGTTTAATTGTTCTCATAACCAACTAACAGAATTAGATTTTAGTGATTGCGCTAAATTAGCCGAACTTAGTTGTAGTAACAACTTTTTAACCAATCTGAACTATGCAACTCTGGATCCAGTTAACCTCATTTATCTAAATCTCATTAATAACAATTTTTCTGAGCAAAATTTGTCATCGTTTAGTTGCTTTACTAAGTTAGAAGAATTATGAATTGGCAATGGCAACGCTTGAGATAAAATCAAAAAAAATGTTTACAATCGCTTTTATGGTTCTCTAGAACCCTTAAAAAATTTAACTAACTTAAAAATTTTATATATTTCTAACACCGATATTAACAACGGAGTTAATTATTTGCCATCTGGTTTAAAAACGATTTGTGCTTCTACTCGAGCAAGACCAGAAGCCAAAGTTAAAGAATTATTTGATTCATTAATTTCCCTAGGATTCGAATTATTTGATAAAAGTGGGGGAGGGTATGTTCGTCAGGAAAAGAAAGACTTATGTAATGCTCAGGAATGATTAGATGAAAATTATCCTTTAAATAATAGAGAAAAATTAACCAGGCTAAACATTAGTGGACAACGATTAACTAGTTCTTTAAAATTAGCAAAATTTAGTAATTTAAAGAAATTAGACTGCTCCAGAAATCAACTTACTAGTTTAGACTTGCAAGATTGTAAAAAATTAGCTAGGTTTTACTGTTCTGATAATTTACTAACTAATTTAAACATTAACAACTGTCTTGAATTAAAAGAATTTTGATGTGTTAATAACCAAATTGCTAATTTGAACATAAGTAATTGTAATGAGTTAACTAAACTTGCTTGCCATAATAATCGATTAACCAGTTTAGACGTAAGTAATTGCAAACAGTTAGATGCCTTTAGTTGTAATGATAATCAAATTACTAACTTAGACATTAACAACTTAACTGATTTAAAAGAACTTTATTGCGGCGGCAATAAGTTAATCTCTTTAGATGTAAGTGAATGCTCGCAGTTAAATATTCTTAATTGTCGTGGTAACCAATTAACCGAACTCGACTTAAGTGGATGCGGACAGTTGAGTTATCTTTACTGCATTGATAATCTATTGACTAATCTAAATATTAGTTGCAATCCCCAACTTACGAGTCTTACTTGTTACGGAAATTTTCTTATTGACTTGGATCTTGCAGTATTAAAATACTCAAAAAATGCTCAAGGGTGATTGGAAAAAAATTATCTTTCTAAAGAAAAAATTACTATTCTAGATATTAGTTGCGAAGGATTAACAGGATCTCTAAATTTAAGTGGTCTGGAAACTTGTACAGAAGTAAATTGTTCAGAAAATAGTTTGACTAATTTAATTATTAAGAACTGTCCCCAGTTAAAAAAAATTAATTGCAGTATGAATCAACTAACTAGTTTGATTATTATTAATTGTCCTGAATTAGCAGATCTTGATTGTAGCGATAACCTTTTGACTAGTTTTGATTTTGCTACTCTGAATCCAAAAAAATTAACTATGCTATGAATTAATGATAATAATTTTTCATCTCAGAATTTAAGTTGCTTGGGGTCTTTAATTAGTTTAGATACGCTTACCATTGGCAATGAAGCAAGAAGAATTAAACAAGGCTTCTATAACCGCTTTTTCGGCAATTTAAAATTTCTGAAGAATCTTACCGAACTAAACGGTCTGGAAATCACTAATACTTGAGTAGAATGTGATTTGGAAAACTTGCCAGATAATTTAGGATATATTGTTGTTAAAAAAAATTGTGATTATCTTGCAGAAGCTAAGGCTAATGAAATTGCAAAGATATTAAAAGATTATGAGAGAAAAGAAAACCCTGGAATTTATGACTTTCAAGCTTGAAAGAACACAATTAGTGCTCAAGAATACTTTAATCAGAAATATCCTTTGGACCAAAGAGAAAATATCAACAATCTATTTTTATGGGACGAAAAATTAGGAGGTACTTTACATTTAGTTAATTTAACTAATTGCATCAAAATAGACTGTTCGGACAACAAGTTAGTTAATTTAGTAATCGAGAATTGTCCTCAATTAGAAGAAATTGATTGTTCTGATAATCGTTTAACTAATCTTCAAATTATCAATTGTCCTCAGTTAAGCAGACTTGATTGTTCTGATAACGCTTTACCTGAACTTAACTGCCAAGAACTGACCAACTTGGGTGAACTTAATTGTTCTAATAATTGATTGACTAGCACTGACTTTATTCAATTCTTAAATCCAAAAAAATTAACTGATTTACGTGTGGACAACAACAACTTTCCTGCCAAAGATTTAAGTTTTTTGCAATTTTTAACCAACTTGAAGATCCTTTATTTAGGCAATGATGTTTCAAAGAGAATCTCTTGAGGTACTTATAATCGCTTTATCGGTTCACTAGAACCATTAAAAGGTATGAGTAATTTGAAGCACCTTCACATTTCAAATACAGACATTGACTCAGGTTACAAATACCTACCTGGAAGCATAGAAAACATTGATTATTCGATTGAGATTAGACCAGACAGTGGTTTAAAAAACATTGTTGATGAACTAATGATTCGCTCTATAGAAAAAAAAATCAGTGACAAACTTCCTTTTTTAACCGCTCAGGAATGACTGGATAAAAGTTATTCCGAAAAAATTACAGTTCAAATTATTGATTTATCCATTTTGGCATATAAAGACAAGGAAGAAGGTGAGTTAATTATTAGTGATTTTCCTAATTTGATAGAGATAAAAAAAGGTTGAAAAGATATTTATAAAGTAATAAAGGTAAGTATTATCAACTGCCCTTGTTTGGAGAAAATAAATATCAACTGATTTAAGGATAATAAGGAATTACAACTTAGTAAACTTCCGCAACTAAGAGAAATTGAGTGTCATAACAATCAGTTAACTAGTTGTGATATCAGTGCTTGTCCTAACTTAACTAAGTTTATTTGCTCCAGAAATCAATTGCTTAACTTAAATTTAAATAATAATCCACAATTAAAGAGACTAGATTGTTATCATAATCAGTTTACTAACTTAGACTGCAGTAATTGCTCCCAATTGGAAGAATTAGATTTTTCTAACAATTTCTTAACAAAAATTGATCTCGGTAGTAATAAGAAATTAGTTAAACTTGATTGCTCTTACAATCGATTAACTAATCTGGATGTTAATGATAACACTTATTTAAAAGAATTATGTTGTTCACATAATAAACTTACTAAATTAGATTTAAGTAAATGCATTAATCTAACCGAACTTTACTGTAATTTTAATCAACTAACTGAATTAAACTTAACTAATTTGAACCAATTGGAGATTCTTAACTGTAATGATAACTATTTAATTAATTTAAACTTTTCTTCTCTTAATCCTAATAAGTTAACTAATTTAAATATTAGTGACAATAATTTTCCTGAGCAAGACTTAATAGTTTTTAGTAACTTTGTCAGTCTAAAGAGTTTATGAATCGGTAATGGTGATAGAAAAAAAATAGAAAAAGAAATCTGCAATCATTTTTATGGTTCTTTACAACCTTTAGAAAATGTGAATAATCTTAACTCTTTGAATATCACTAACACTAATCTTAACTCAGACTTAGAATATTTACCAGTTAGTTTACGGGAAATTCATTGTGATAGTCTAGAGGTATTTAATTCTAGACAATTAGCAAGAGAATTAAGTGGTTATGTTTTAAAAGAAGTCACTGCTACTGATTACGGTTATAATGAACAAGACTATAAAGAAAAAGTTTATGACTATCAAACTTGGAGAAGAAACAAAGATCTAGAAAAATCTAAAAAGGCCTGAATCCAAAAAATCAATGATTTAAAATGAAATTTAGGAGTGGCTCCAGAATTGTTAAGTGAGGGAATAGAGTGAGAAAACAAGTTAAACAGTAAAGAAAAAACTACTGAGTTAGAAGAATATGCTACAGAGATATTAAGAAATGTTTATCAAATAGCCAACAAAGAGATACCAGTCGATTTACAAGAGTTAGAAACCAAGATAGAAATTATTCCTAAATTCTAACTTTATTAGTTCCAATGACAATTTGAAGGATTTGAGACATCGAAACTATAAAAAAAGTTATTGCTGTTAAACACTTTAATGTTGTCACATTCCATTCTAGTGTTTAAGATTAAAGAATTGATACTATTACTATCCCCACTACCTATTAAACTGAACCGCATTATTTCTACTTCTTGCTTGGTAAGTTCATTAGTCTTTTTTAAAGGATGGATTTTAGTAATAAAAGAAGTAGAATTAGAATATAAAGAGAGTGGTAATTATAAGCAATTAATTGGTTTATATACTGAGTTAGAAGGGGGAGATTTTTATTTAAAACTGTTTATTATGGTAAGCAAGAAAAAAAGAGACTTTGTTGTCAAGCCCATTCATCCTGGAACTATACTAAGAGAGGAAATCTTAATTCCTCGTGATATTAGTCCTCAAGAACTAGCTCAAGCTCTAAAAGTTCCTAAAGAACAAATAAAATGAGTTTGTGAAGAAAGAGCTGATATTACTCCTGATTTAGCAGCACGATTATCTCTATACTTTAACACTAGTGTAGGCTTGTGACTAAATCTCCAAAAAAGTTATGAAGAAGAAGTAGCCGAAGCTAAAATAGAGCAACTAAAAGAAGAGATAACTCCTTATAAAGAAAAACTAGGAAATTCTAAGCATGCTTCAGATCACTAAAAGAAGAAAGTTTAAAAGTCCTGAAGTTGAGGAATACATGTTAGGTAAACGAGTTAAAGAATGAGCAGGAATTCAACCAGCCGAAAAAGCCAAATGAAGAATAAAAGTAGTTGCTAATGCCCGAGATAAAAGAGATTTCGATACTTTTTCTGATTTTCGTTTAGAAAAAATTGAAGGAACTAAAAACCATTACAGTATTAGAATTGGCGGACAATGACGTTGTTTTTTTCTTTGAGAAGATAATCAGGCTTGAGAAATTGAGATTAGTAAGCATGACTACAAAAAAGCAAAAAAGTAGATTTTAGCAATAATTGCCATTTCAAAAATGGTAAGTTTATGGGCTACCATTTCTAACTCTTACTATCGCAATAATCCTTTAATATTTAATAAAGATTTTCAACTAAAAATCGGAAAAGACTAACTAGCAGTAATGAAAAGTTAATTTATAAAACCAGTATATATTATTAGCATAATCATAATATTAATATGTGCCTATGGTCAGAAAAGAGAGAGAAATAGCCAATTAGTATAATTTATTCACTACCTAATTTGCTATAAATTGATATTAAGTTCCGTGTAGTGATTGTAAAGACAGTTCACTAATTCTGTAAAATTAGTAAAAATACAAAAATAAAATATTAATAAAATTATGCCAAAAGAAAATATAATACAAATACAAGAGACATTTGAAACGATGCGAGAAACGGAGGAACAAATACGAGATATTTTAGGGATAAAAAACCAAGAGTTTCTTCAAGCGTTAACAAAGAAGATTTCTGAGTACCAAACAATAATTATTCATCGCCATATTTCTCCTGATGGAGATGCTTATGGAGCACAAATTGGATTGAAATGTATTATTGAAGAAAATTGAAAAGATAAAAAAGTTTTATTAGCAGGAAAAAGCGGTCAGTTAAAAGGATATAGAGAAGGAATTTTTGATCGTCTTGAATATTTTCAAGATTCTGCCGATAAAGCAAAAGAAGAAGATTATCGCGATGCTTTGGTAATTACCGTTGATACTTCTAGTGAGAATATAATTGATGGCGAATTCTGAAACAAAGGCAAAGAACTCATTAAAATTGATCACCATCCAGTAAAAGAACCATTAGGTAATTTTGCCAAGCGGGAAAATACTTGAGTGGAAGATAATAGTCCTTCTTGTAGTCAAATGATTGCTAAGTGAGCACTAAGCCAAAATCTAAGCATTCCACAAAAAGCTAGTAAGGCACTTTATCATGGGATGGTTACTGACACTAATAGGTTTCATTATATTTCAGAAAAAGAGGACGGAGAAAAGACATTGACTATTGCCGGGATGATGCTTTCAAAGTCGAATTTCGATCTTCTTAGTTTTTACAAGGGTGTTCATCCTTTATCTACTGTTGAGGAGACAAGAGTAAAAGGTTTCATTATGTCTAATTTTAAAATTGATAATGGAAAGGTTTGGTTATTTATCAAGCCGAGTGACTTCCACGAGCAAGGTTGAAAGTTTAAAAGAGATGAGGTGGTCGGTTATGTTACTTCGCTTTCTGAAATGGAAAATGTAAAAGTTTGAGCACTTTTTGTATCAGATGGAGTAACAGAAGATGGAAAAATTAGAGCAAGTTTGAGAAGTGAAAGTATTGAGTATCCAGTAAATAAAATTGCCCAAAATTTTGGTGGCAGCGGACACATTCGTGCTGCTGGATTAAAACTTCCGAAAGATGATTGAGAACAAGCTCAAAAAGTTGTTGAACAGTTGTTGAAGTTATAGTTATTATCGATTGATAAAGGGTAGTTTTAAAAAGGCAAGAGAGAGTTTTTTATAAACTCTCTTTACTAACACATTAATGATTAAGACTTGAGTTGTATTTAAAAAATGGTTATCCGAATTACCGGATAGAAAAACAATGAGGTAAAGTTGCTGAAGATTATTTAGGAAATTTACAGAAGTTTGCTAATGAACAAAGTCAAGAAGAAGCAAGAGAAGAATATCAGGCTAGCATAGAAATTTCACTTGAATAAAAAAAGGGGAGATTTATTCTCCTCTAATAGCCATTTTACTTTACATTCACCAAAACACTCTAAAACCGATACTAAACTATACCTCTCTTTAAAAATCCCTTTAAAATTGAGCACTTTCTAAAAGTATCTAATATCTGAATACTTTTAATTTATTTAGAAAGTAAGAAAAGTATTCTATTCTTTTCACTCTTTTTGCTTTCTAAATAAATCCAACCACTATGTAAATAAACTCTAAATAAAGCCCTTTTCTTAGAGTTCTTAACTGCTTCTCAGTAAGTTAGTTTATCTTGGTAAGTATTTCGTAAACAACTATTACAAATTCTTTGGTTTTGGTGTTTATTCTCTTCGGTTCAGTAATCCCAGTTATTCTTTTGGGAATACTGTTGCCGAGAAATTACAAATTTAATTTCAAAACCTTTTTGGCGCTGGAAACAGTTAACTTTTAAGGGTTTTGGTAAACCATTTTTACTTAGTTTAAGTCTTGGCATAAAAATTGTGCAAAGAACTATTAGAGAAATTAAAAGATTATGAATAAACTAATTATTTTACTACTAATAATCCTAGTTGCTTATGCTTTTAGAGAAGGATGATTATCTCCTAGGGGTACTAAAGAATTATTGAAGGAAATGTTAGAAGAAGTAAGAAAGTGTCGGGAATTGTTAGAGAAATTTGATTCACGAGGAAGTAGACCCTCTTCTGAAAGGGGAGATGATGATGACAACGAAACAGCACCTCTCCTTTAAAAACTATTTATACTTAATTTTACCCTTATGAAAAAAAACTCATTAAGAAAGTAGTGAAACCAAAAAACACTAAAAAAGACTCAGAATTTAAAAAGTATTTAGAGAAGATAGAAGATCCTAATTACCAAGGAGGTTCTTGGGCTTTGCCGGAGAATGCTACTGCTGCTGAAAAAGCAAAATACGAAATTTGTGAGAGAATATTAGGTTATCAAGAGGATAATAGTTTGTCTGATGAAGAATTAAGAAAAATGACTAATCTATCACAAGACCAGTTAGAGGACATTCTTTTTACTCGCATAGAAAAAGTAAATTCCGATGAATTAATAAATGCGGCCAGTAAATTATTTGCTCCTTGCCAAGTAGAAATTACCATTAGAAAAGTCAAAACCATTCATGCCCGAAGAACTGTTTAGACTAGAAAAAGAGAAATTTAGTGAAGTTGATGATGAATTACAATGGACTTATTCTTGCTTATTACCTTTTTAAGAAGAAAACTATTAACTGAATAACTATTACTGACCATTATTTAGAAAAACACCCTGAAATTACTAAGAAATTAATTTTGAATATCTTAAATGAAAGATTAAATGGTCGAAAAAGGATGAAACCTCGAACCAGTTATGGCATAAGAGATATTTATGTCTTGGAAAGAACACTTTATAAAGACCAAAGATATCGGTTAGTTTTCTGATTTAAAGATAATACTACTGACCATTTATGGATTAGGAATTGTCATCCACGAGATTAATAATAAAAAGTTAAGAAAGGTTTAAAATATTATTATACCTTGATATTTGGTATAATAAGAATAATGATTATTAATGGCGATAAAAAGTTTTAAAGATGAAGAGGCCGAAAAGATATTTAAAAAACAAAAATCTCCTCTTTATCAGAGCATCAAAAAGGTAGTTTTGCGAAAACTAATCTTACTAGATGAAGCCAAGGATTTAAGAGATTTAGACAAATTGCCAAATAATCGTTTAGAAAAGTTAAAAGGAACTGAAAGAACTTACAGCATTAGAATTAATGATCAATATCGCATTGTTTTCGATTGGACAGATGCTAATGCTTATAATGTATTAATCAACAAACATGATAAAAGTTATGGAAAGCAATAAAAAAATAGAAAGAGATCCAGAAT